GTTTTATTCACGATGTTTTACGTGGACTTTTGCCTACCTATTTTTTTTTTGACGATATACTAATCGCTAGTCCTGACGAAGACACCCATTTTAACCACTTGAAACAGGTTTTCGCCAGACTGTCAGAGCATTCGATGACAGTCAACCTGGCCAAATGCCAATTGGCGTTCGTTCACTAAAATTTTTGGGACACGTTATCGACGAGCAAGGCATTCGCCCACTACCTGAAAAGGTACAGGCGATCCAAGACTTCCCAGTCCCAGCGTCACTTAAAGCTCTGCGTGTGTTTCTGGGTATGGTGAGCTATTATCGTCGCTTCGTTCCCCAATGTGCACACATTTTGACTGCACTGACCGACCTGCTGAAAAGTAAATGTAAAACTTTCAGCTTGACTCCGGAGGCACTAGAAGCATTTCGCAAGATCAAAACCGCAATAGCAGACGCCACGATGCTGGTGCATCAAGACGTAAACCTACCTCTTAGCATTGCGGTTGACGCCTCTAACACGGCCATTGGAGCTGTGTTGCAACAACTTTCGGATCACACTTGGATCCCAGTTGCATTCTTCTCCCGGAAGTTATCCACCTGCGAAATGCGGTACAGCACTTTCGGCAGGGAACTGCTCGCCATATATGCCTCAGTGAAACATTTTCGTCATTTTGTGGAAGGTCGTGACTTCATCATCTTTACCGACCATAAACCTCTGACGTATGCCTTACACACCACTACTGACAGATATTCACCGCGTGAATTACGTCACCTAGATTATATTTCGCAATTCACGTCGGACATCCGTCATATTTCTGGTGTGAATAACCCTGTCGCGGACGCACTGTCTCGCGTTTGCACCACTACTTTGCCTCGAGCAGTCGACTTACGGAAGATTGCCGAACTTCAGGATTCAGACGAGGAGATTGAAAAACTTCAACACTCATCCTCTCTGAAGATACAGCGTTACCGCTCCTGAACAGTGAAGTGTCAATATTGTGCGACACCTCCACAGGCACACCCAGACCGGTTGTTCCTTTATCCTTGCGTAAGCATGTTTTTGATGCTTTGCACAATCTTTCACATCCTGGCATCCGCGCCACTGACAAGCTCATATCTGCTAGGTTTGTTTGGCCTGGTATTAACCGTGATGTTCGAAACTGGACACGGTCATGTATTCAGTGCCAACGTTCCAAGGTGAATCGTCACAACATCCCACCACTTGGAACTTTCGCCAAACCTGACTCACGATTCGCTCATGTCCACTTAGACATTGTCGGCCCACTTCCACCCTCCGATGGATATAGTTACCTACTGACATGTGTCGATAGGTTTACTCGCTGGCCGTTAGCCATCCCACTGTCTAACATTACTGCCGAAACAGTAAGTCGGGTTTTCGTCGAAGGATGGGTTTCACAGTTTGGATGCCCTTCCACCGTGACAACCGACAGAGGCCAACAGTTCGAATCCGCTACCTTCCAGAAGCTGATGAATCTGTTGGGATGCAAACGCATCCGCACTACCGCATATCATCCAGCTTCCAATGGTTTGGTCGAGCGATTCCACCGACACCTTAAGAGCGCACTAATGGCAGTCGACAATATGAAATGGACTGAGTCTCTGCCGTTGGTTCTTCTCAGCATCCGTTCTACACTCAAGACTGATATACAGTGTACACCTGCTGAGTTAGTTTACGGTAGTAACTTACGTTTGCCGGGTGAGATGGTCGCTTCAGACTGCAGTGACCCAACTCCTACCGATATCCATGGCTATGCTCAAACTCTTAAGTTACACATGCGTCGCCTCCAACCCTCATCCACACGGATACAGTGTAGACGGGTGCAGCTGGATAAAAGACTCCAAGATTGCACTCACGTCTTTGTGCGTTGTGACGGTGTACGTAAGCCCTTACAGCCACCATACGACGGACCCTTCAAGGTTCTCAGTAGGAAAGAAAAGTTTTTCGTCATTGACAGATCTGGACGGCAGGATTCTATAAGTGTCGATCGTTTGAAGGCAGCTTATATAGAGGACGACCCGCCTTCCTCTACACCGACACAACTAGAAAAACCCTTGCCGCCGGACTCCCTAACAGACTCGTTTAGTCGCGCGTATCCTGAACCTTCTAAAAGAGCCACGTCTAGTAACACTGATCCAGTAACCTCTACACGTGCTGGGAGGCGTGTACATTGGCCCAAGCGATACGCCGAGTTCGTTAATTAGCCCCAGAGCAACTTCACACTTGGTGAATTCGGAGTTTCAACTACTTTGTCGTGGCATACACTTTCAATGCGTTTTCATACCTAAAGTTTTCAAAAGTCATGTTTACTACTTTGCAAACAGTTTTTTTTTCCAAAAAAAAAAAGAAAAACCAAAAATACAATTTAAATTCCGAAAACTTTTTTTGGTTGGTTATTATTTTTTTTCTGTACTCCTCCCACTTCGAATTGTTTGGTTTTTCTTTTCTTAGCACTCTAATGTCCCATTTCTTTCTTCTTGCAGAACCTAGAAAATGCGTTGAAAATTGGATACAATTGGCCGCTGACGATGCTACTTGGATCGTTCTTCGGTTCTCTTTGTACCAATTTCCCCCTGTACACCCCCCGGTAGATTAAGAAGCAATAGGGAAAAGTAGACGGAGGCTTTGGGTCACCTTCCACCACTGCGAGAAGGGTTGCGTCTAGACGCAAAGTTATCTTACCTCGTAGGTGTGCATAGTTGCACTAGCTTCGGAGACCCACACGTCACCTACTCCATCACCAATATGGAAAGGTGTTGCGTGTCCGCCTCGCAGTCGCCTCCTAGGATCGAAGGTTGCCGGTATCCCAACAACCTTCTAGGAGGGGGATAACCTGTAGTGCACCTTCCTGGCACCAAAATATAACTAGGGCTAAAATAAATAGTTTAAATTAAATTAACTAAATAAATCTCTAGCTTGCCTCCGGATGCTTAGGGTGTTTTAAGTTTTGTTTTAACGAGCATGCATCCGAGCAGGCTTGGACGCCATTTTTGCGCTCCATTGTGCTGATTACCACGCACGTACTCCGAGTCCCTAGTTCAGCCTTACAAGCCAGATAAGTTGATTAAACTTTTCCCTCATTCATTATTATTACATTTACCTTAAATACATAGCTCCTTTAAATACATTGCGTATCAGTTCTTTTGATTTGTGTTTTGTTACCAGTACTTACACGTTAGGTAAAGTACTGGTTAAGCAGGTACTAGAGCACATCAAATTAAGTAGGGTTGATCAAACGTTACGGAATTGTAACACGCATCCCTACAGTCTGTATATCTTTCCCTGAAACTTGAAGACTGTCGAGGTTAAGCATAACTGCACTCCTAACATGATTTCACCAACCGATGCCTTGGTTCTTTGAGTAAGTTGTGAGTCAGTATCTAGTTGATTTCTGACTGCCTTCAGTGCCATATTGATTGGTATTTTAGTATAAAGACTTGTTACGTCAAAACTAACCATTTTTTCATCCTCTTCTATGTGCAGGTCATTAAGTTTTTGTTTCAACTCGTAAGAATTTACTAGTCTAGAGTTGGAACGGTCTCTAACAGGACGTAATACTGATGCTAAATACTTTGATATCTCATATGTTGGTGTGTTTCGGAAGTCAACTATCGGCCTAATGGGATAACCTGCTTTATGAACCTTAATAGTACCGTAAATTCTGCTAGGATTATTAGTTTTTGGCATTAAAGTAAACCATTCGGACTTACCTAGAGATGGCTTCAGTCGGCGTATCAGATCTGTTGTAGATTTCTTAATTTTATTCATGACAGTATCTATAGGTTTCTTAATCTCTTCATATGGCCCTGTTTGGATATGTTCATCCATTTTTTGAAGATAATCCGATTTGTCCATAACTACTGTTGAGTTACCTTTGTCAGATTTAGCAATTACTATACTATTATCCTTTCGTAGATTGTTTAAAGCTGAATTTTCCAGTTTCGTTAAGTTTCGCTGTGTCTTCTTTTGTTTTTTAAGTGCTAATGCACACTGCGCTCTAACCTGTTCAGCAGTTGTCACATCCACCGAGCTTAATGCTACTTCTATGCTAGGTATGACATCTTCTGGTTTTAGATGATCTACTGTTATGTTGAAGTTTAGTCCTTTTTCAAGTACTTTCATCTCAGCTGAGCTTAAGGCTTTCGAGGAGAGATTGACTACCCACTTTGTTCTATCGATGTTCGATGATGTTTCCTTTGTAATTTCATTGTTTTCCGAAGCATATTTTTCTTGCATTAGTTTATTGAACTTTTTGATTTGATTTCTTCTAGATTTCTTGAGAGTAGCTAATCTTGCTTTGTCTGACGTTTCTATTATAAATCCATAGTCTCTGCAGTTTACTATCTTCATAATTTTACATTTAAGTTGTTCAATTTTATTCCGAATGGTACTTAATTTCTTAATAATCCTGTGAATTTCTTCTTTCAGACATAGTTTGCTGACATGTTCTATTGACCTTTGGATTTTGTCAGTATATATTGGGATTCGTATGCGAAGGTATTTAGGGATAATTTGATTTTTCATGCAACGAATATTGAAAATACGATGATTCGTGAAACGTGCTTCAGTTTGTGAAAGTCGTGTGAGTTTATTGATTAGCCTTCGAACAGGAAGACCATAAGTTTCATTAATATAAGTGAATAACTAACCTATTCATAACGTCAACAGGGTAAACATTCTCTGGAAAGGCAACCAATCTGCTTTCTTACCACATAATTAATAAACAGCTGACTTTGTCAGAAATCTCTGAAAGCTTATTTATTTTATGAAGTCTGAATGAATCGACACAACAGTCAAAATAAAACGGTTATGTGAAACAAGTCCAATTCATGACAGTATACTAAATGTTAATACTCGAAACCAAAATTCTACATTCTCTTATCTTGAACACTATACTTAATACAGTGTTTGCAACAGTTGCTTCATTCAGTACTTTATTCCTAGTAAAACCACACCACTGCAAGTTCCAGTAATATGAAAATGAATTAGGAGAGTTGGGAGGTGACGATTGGACTCGACTATTCTTCATGCTATCTTTTGTATACATAAAAGTTCTTATCGAAGGAATTTATTAGCAGTTCACTGTCTAGTTTCGTTGACTGTTTCTTTTCGCTGTTACTAGAAGAAGAAGAAGAAGAAGAAGAAGCTGGTAGTCAAAATCTCAATTATTTACTTACCCGAAGGAAAGGAAATATCATCGAAAAACTCTTTCATATCGAATGCTGAATAATTTTTATTTGCAGTTATGATAATCTTCTCATCGTCTGGCCATAAACGTGGATCTGGCAGGAGGAATACCATTGCAGGAAAAGAACGTTCAACTTCTCGGAAAGCTAATGTACTACGAAGGGGTATTCCGAAATTGTCACCTGAGAAGTAAAATGTGTTTCAAAAGTTAACATCATCTTGCCAAAGCTGTTTACTGGAATGAACACAATCTATCATGGAGTCCTGGTGTTATTATTTACAAACTGTTAACAGTCTATTAGTAATCAGAACAAAAACAAATATATACTTGAAGATATTGAGCTAAATCTTAAACAATCCCTAGGTTTTGACAACAGACCACAAGTTACTTCTCGGTAATTTTCACATGTAAACTCATCGTCAGTATCTCAAATAGAATAATCATTCTTGAGTATAAGTCAACAAATTCGTACTAGTAAATATGAATTGCATTGATCAAAGAACACCATTCGCTTGATGTTATATCAATGTATTTGGATCATTCAACTTTACAATACCGTACCAGTCCATTAAAACTCATTAGACGACCAAACTTTCTGCTTCTCAAATGATGAACAAATTGAGGATTCTAATCTAAGAGGATCGGTAAGGCAAGACAGGTTTTCATCAATTTGAAATCACTGTGTAGATCTAATGTGCACTCAGTACAAAGAATACGATCCGGATTCCCAACACCAATTCAGTCAAGTCAGTGCTTCCTATGTGATGGTTCAAAAACTTGGCACGTCACGAAAAGCACTTCCAACAAACTACAGACATTCATCAACAACTGTCTACGCTGGCTCGATACTGAAGATCAGATGGCCAGAAAGAATAAGCGACAAAGAACACTGGGAACGAACCAACCAAGAACCTATCACCCAACGAATATACAGAAGAAAGTGGAGATCGATTGGGCATACACTGAGAAGGCCGATTGGGGACATGACGAGGAGGAGATCATGTGACGAAGAAATGAAAGCTTGTGGGCAGTCATGGAGCCAGGTTGAAAAGACTGCAGAGAAGAGAGTGCAATGGAGGCGTGCTACTGAAGCCGTTTGTTCCACTAGGGAATAACTACTATAATAATCTAAAAGATACATCAAATCCTAGTTTGAGTCAATATAAATTGAAATTCGACAGAACACAATAAAAAAGTAATTTCCATCATGTTGACATCATTAATCATCTGCGATAATAAACTTACCACAAGCTTCAGCATATAACGCTTCCACAGATCCACCAAACGGACCTGAAACAGATATAAATCCCTTGACATATTTTTTCTTCCAATCTTTCGTTTGACGCTTGAGGAAATACATAGAATATAATGATCCCAAACTGTGTCCAAGTAAGTATACTGGACGGTTATCGCCATTCCTATATGTCTCCTCAACAAGCTGCTTCAATTTATCAAAGTATTTAGCGTTTTCATCTGAAAATAGAAAAACACTTGAAGTAATTATCCTGCATTTTTCAATTCACCACATACTCGGTGACCTGCGAAAATCGTATGGTGCAGCACGTATTGTCTTATTTCGCACAAAATATCTATCTTCAGCCAAACCATCAACAAGTTGCTTCATATAACTTGATAGAGCATATTTTTCTTCAGTTAAACATTCACTTGCCCATGTATCACCAAAACCAGGGAATTCAACATCACAGATACCGCGTTCATGTGTTGTTTTCGACGTAGGGTTATATGATAGTCTATATACATTCAGTACAGTATTGATACGTGAAAGTGATTAGCCTCACCCCATATAAGATAACAACTTTTCAGGTAGAAGGAAGTATAAAACTCGAATCCATACGATAAAGCGTTTCGTGTGTGATTCAGAGTCTCTCAGTCGACAGTGTGCTTGTGTTCCTCCGATTCCATGTATTAGTATTATTGGATATCGCTTAGCCTCCTTCAAATATAAATATTTTGTTTGACGATATGGTGATGTAAATACTCCGTTAAACAAATATATCTAAAAATAGTTATTCAAAAGATGGAGTAGAAATGTATAATTTTACTTGAAATATCATAAGTTTCATTGTGAATATCATCATCAGTGTCAATGACAAAGCTGATTTTCTCATATTTTATTCACTTTCATTTCATTCTGAGCATAAATAAATATTATAAGCCTAGTGACTAACTTAACTGCCAATCAACTGGTTTCACTAATGAGTAGTTCATTACGTGGGTGAGTATCTTCTTTTAACAGCAAACCATCAATTATAGCAACATTGGGTACTGACCAATGAACAGAAACGTTTCACACAGTACAGACTGAACAATTAATTTGAGCAATCATTGAGTGAAATCCTAGGCTAATATTAACCAATATTTTTCACAAATGTATCTTGTTATTCCTGTCTATTGATTTTTGTCTATCTCCCCTGTAGTTTGTGCATATCAAAATGACTAGTCTTGCAGACAGTTACGTGATGTGAATTGTAGAGTCATGGAAAATCTCTTCACGGAAGCTATATAGATTGAAAAACAGCAGTGGAATATAATATGACTTTATCAACTATCCTAAATATCCTCATAACGACTATTACTTCTTTTGACATTTGAAATATTGTAGTCGATCTGCAGCTGATGAAACTTTCTAAAATAAAATGTGACTTCTGTTTCCTCTTGCAACTGCTGTTCTCCTTCTATTTTAAATAAACGAAATTTCGTTAACAAACCCAAGATAGTGTTCACATTGTCAGATAATAATTCCAATCAATTTTAAGTAGAGCTGAGAGATTGTCTTTCAATTGTACACTTACAAAATGGTTAATCAAATAATGAAAATCATGTGACCTTCTTTTGGCTTTCGTGAGTTTTCATTCTCGATTAATCTACATGTCTCCAGCTGACTACTCTAATCAATATAGTCTCATAGTGGTTATCTAGCTTAATAAACCAGTTCATTCGGTCTAATAGGCTAACTGAAATTCTTCATCACACAAGCTATACTTTTAGAAAGTCATTAAGTAGGAATAATACTTTAATCAGAGTTGTATGCTGACACCATTGAGGTTGTGAATTCTACCTTTCTTGCAGCTCAACTTTCCCAAAGAAGATAGGAAATGTCTTCAAACTATAAAACAAGATTTCAATGTTGTGGTATAATCCGGATAAGGTTGTGGACAATAAATCGTTTATGAAATGTTGACAGTATTCGACACAGTCATCAGAACAGTGAAAATCTGTAAACAGAAGTATATCTAACAAATGTCAGACAATATTTGGTGTTAGTAAATTAAATGGGTTGCATGTTATCATCACTTTTTGTATTTAAAGTGAATAACTTTTAATAACTCATTTAAGATTTTTCGCATATCTCTCTCTTTTCGGAAATACGAATAAAATTCATGCTGGTGATATCCGTTTTCTTATTCTATTCTGTGCATTATTTCTACTTATTCAAACCAGCTGATCGTCTTTGAGCACTGAAGCTGTATCAGCCAGAATTGTCAAACTGGTTTAAGTATAGAATCACGCCTTTAAACTGGTATGTGTTTGCTAGAATATATTATTATTACTATTATTATTATTATTGTTATTATTATTATTATTATTATTATTATTATTATGTACTTGACAGTTTATCTATTACTAGTGTGAGTTCCTCAAGCACTGCATCAGTGACAGCAGAAAAATCTGTACTCAGATGACTTCATTACATCCCATTTCTAACCTACGGCTTCCACTATTGAGCTTCAATAGCCCGTGCTCATGGTTTGCTCAAATCTAGTTTTCTTTTATCCCACATAAAATACGATACTCAGCAACTGAGTATGGCTACGTTGGCAAGGCACTGCTCATTAAGTTTACTACAGAGGTCGTCGACTCCATAGTCCATGACTTTCCAGAGGTATCGCACAACAAGTTAAAAGAAATATTCATAAAACAGACATTCGTATCACACGAAAGATGTTTGCAACAACTTTTCACTACTTGTGAGGTGAGTGACTATAACTTTTAGCAACTTCCGAGGCACATGAAAAACTTGTTGGTATATGTAAATTAAATGAAGCATTGCAGTACGTTTAATAGCTAGCAGTGGGATCTAAGAGACGCATTTCATCCCATTTAGGACTAGCCAGCCGGATGTACCTGTACCCCAGTGAGTGATGTTATCCCCATTGGGATTCGAACCCAGTACGCATTGGTTCAAACGCCGGAGCGTTATCCACTAGACCACTGCAGCAAGACAGTTACCACATGTGAAACGGGTACCAGTTGAAGCGATGAGTATTGGGGTCGAGTCTCGGTGGGGACAAGATTGCTCAATGGAGTGCAAGTACACTCGGACGAAGTGTGACAAATAGGACGAAATGAGCATCCTGGGTTCCACTGCTAGACATCAAAGACTTCAGCATAGTGAATATCCAGACATTATCAAGGCACCAGCATACGGGCCTATTTTCTAACAGAGGTCGAGCAGTTCGACCCATTATAGTAACAGGAAATTACAGGTAACAAAAGACAATTAATGAGGCGATTTTGAAGCAAATGTGGTTGTACAGGCTGCCTTGCGACCTCCGTAAAATACTCAGTGGATCTTCGAAAGGCATCGAGTTCGGGGACTTGATTGTAGTTGACTATACCCTGTTAACCTTTCTATTTACAGTTTACCGATGACTTTAACACAGAAAAGTCAGAGTGACACTTTCACAGTCTCGCATACCCCACCTAGTTTGCAGTCACAGCTGACCACGGCTACATCCCGTTTCGAAACTATGGAGACCAATATCTCCAATATACATATCCGACATAGATGTGTACCTCGTAGGTGCCCAGTGAATGATGGTCGCCTCTCACACACCAACAAAGGGCGGCGCCAATTTACAGGGTTGATTATGATTGAAATGCTTTCTGCCTTCGTTCAGTACTTGCCTGAACTTACATATTTTATTATATACACACGATTCTACCTAATTACAGCCCCAAAGAATGTCTGAGTGGTATGTGGCAGGAATGTAAAATCTTTTTTTCAGTGTGCGAATTGCCACTACCTAGGATAAGAGATAGCAAACAATATAACACAAGATTTTTCACCACTAAATGTAATAACCATATGTGTAAAAGTGGTATGCACCTGTGAATTATTGTGTAAGAGGCTCTGCACTAGCGATGGGTTGTGATCTATGTTCATAATGGACTTACTGCTCCTGTGATTACAGGCGGCCCCCTACTTTTTGTGACACACTTCTGAATAACCCATCTGGTGGTGAATAGCATTTGTGTTTATGTTGTAGGACCAAAACGATGTGCATTATACGCCTTGAGCTAATTAGGTGTGATTTCTACCATCACACATCATACGTGTCAACATAAAAAGACTTCTTTACGACGTTGTGTAATGTCAAGACCACTCCAGAAGATAGTAGTAAGGGTTACAACACTAAGGTTATTCTTCATTCCATTATTAAAAATCATGAGGCAAAAGCAGGCTCAACAGAGTCAACTACTTATCACAACCCTGTTAAGGTCTTTTGTATTGCAGGCATAGCACTAGAACTGGTCCCATGTTGAAGGATGTAAATGCCACATCGCAACATGTTCAACAAGGCAACCAAGAAGAAGAAATGCTAGTAGGTCAAGATGTAGAAAGGTGCTACTGCTGGAAATAGTGGCAACTTCGGTAGAGTAGCTAGGACTCCTGCTCACACTAATGTGAAACCCATTCCTAGTGTAACCCACACACCTGCTGCACAGTTGGAAAATGAGGGTCTCAATATTAGTAGGTGTAAATTATTGAAAAAGTCCTCTTTAGCAGCAGAACATCCGTCTTGGATAGTTCTTTATTGTTAAAGAGTGAAGCAATATTCCCCTAAATTCTTCAAATAAGCCTGGAATTCCCTGAAAAGCCTCCACAGTCAATCTTGATATGCAGAACATTTGCGAAAAGCTATGTGATTATACGCGTCTCAGATTAGCTAAATGGCTTTCTAGAAAAGTGTAGAACATACCAAGGCAATCGAAAATGTATATAAACCATTACGTTTTGTATGTGTTCGACTAGAAAAAAGCCTTTTATTGTTTTTTCCTGTTCTCGAGGAACAGATCGACTCCCAAGGGTGAAGTCTAAGCTTATTGTTCACAAGTCCACCTACATATATATGAACCTGCCACAAGGATATATCACTAAATATACTCACAAAACTGGCAGCTCAAGTCGTGCCAGCCATTGTCAAAAAGCAGAACCGGGAATCAAACCTGCATTCATGGGAGGGATTACATGAAAACAAACGGAAAATAACCTCAATCTCTGACTACTCATATTTTTAGCGCTAAGGGAAGCGACTCTTCCTTATTGGCTAATTGCAAAAGACATGACCTTCAATGGAAGGTTTTATGCAAACGTTTAGGAACCAGTCCCAACAGACCAACTCTAAAACTCTTAACCAGCAGAAAATGTTTCCAAAGGCTGTCCAAGATGCTTGAAGTCTCCCTAAATACCATTTGTCAGGAAAAACGTCCGTTTGAAAGCTAAATAAATAAGTAAATATTTTCATATTATGAATTTAACACGAGAGAAGCCGATTTACAAGCATCGTCAAGTGGATAATATTCGATAAATCTACATTTCAACGGTCCTGAGTGGTGCTGAAGAGAGGACATGAAATTCTATCATAACATCAAGTGTCTGCAAGTTCTGAAACGAACAAAGAAATATAACGTCTCAGTACATGCGCAGTGTTTATAAGTTTAGACCATTTTCACTCTTTTTTACCTATAGGCGGCAATAAGGCCATGCAATGCTCGAAGTTTGTTACAAGTAGCTGATTTGTTTGACGCATCTGCATAGCTACATGTTGCCCCACATGAACGTCTATTTTACCATCAATACACAGTTATATATATTGAACAAAAGGACCACCTTCAACAATTTCAGGAATCAATAAGTGTCAACATAGTCATGTGATTTAGGTGAATGTTTGTGTTTAAGCAATTCCCACTCTTTCAATGTTACCGTTAGCAGCAATATAGATCTGTGCCATTAGAAATAGTTGCTGTGGTGCGAAGAACTACACATTTGAAGAGCTGTAGTCCAGTGGCAATGAAGTTTACATATTACTCACGTTGACGTAAGCAGTACTATCGACAAGATATATTCTCTGATAGCTGGCTCCTATTAGATGAAGTACTAAAGAAATATGCTGGGTAGCACTGCTACGAATATGTAACCTTCAGAGTTACTAGGTATGTTGACCTCTTAGGTTCAATTGCTGGTCCAGATTTTCGCTCCCATTATGACCGTCAAGAAATCTGAGTAATTCGAGAATAGATAGATGCTCATACAGTGAAAGTCAAGTGAATGAATGGGACCGGTAAGTTCTGCTTATTGGAAAGTAAATTTCACAGTAGCACAGTTTCACCCTTTTGAGAAACACCGGATTGTTGGTAACTGGTAACATATAATCCCCATTTGAGTCCAGCTGACATCATCAGAGGTCAACTAGATGGTGTGGGTTCCCTGAATTTTTAATTAAATCCCTTGTTCCTTTAATATTCAAATGCCCAGGCAACTCGGTACGTATTCGTGATAGTTTATTTTCTTCGAAAATTAATGATATCTCCATATTGTTGCATTCTAAAATTTGAGTAGGAGAAAAAGACAAAAGCAGATGTAGCTTTTTCACCTTTGTGGTTGGAAATTGTTTATACACTAAAAGGCACTATTATGTCTTTGATTTTAGGAGCAGTATCAGTGAAATGTTTTATAACCCAATTGTGTAATGTGGACTTGAGCTGTCTTATATACTTGGTCAGTCTTTAACTCCCGTGTTTCTGAAGGTAAACCGTTCCACATCTGGGCATATTTTATCA